CCCCCCCCCCCCCCCCACCCCACCCCAAAAAAAAAAAGAAAAAGAAAAAAAGGCAGATCTGAGATCTGTCCTCTTTCTCTTTCCACAGAAAAAAAGAAAAGAAAAATAGGTAGTTCTGAGATCTGTCCTCTTTCCACAGAAGTGTTATTTCGCCACATAATTAAATAGTTAATTTTTATGTGAGTACGTAATATCTACAGTTCAAATGTTGCTACAAAAACATTATCTTGAAGGTGTATAAGTACTTCTCTTTCCGTGTGGAAGCATATTTCAACCTACATGAAATCTTTTTTTTTTGGGGTACCACATGAGCACAGCTGAGGTGAATGTGCATTTACTTGATTTTCTTGCTATTTTTTCTTGACAGTGGTGGGAGAAAAGTGATTGGACTGGTTACAAGGAGTTAGGTAAGCTATCGTTTTAGTTACACAAAAATGAATTTCTCATTTTAGAATTTATGCATTTAGTTAATAATGAAATAGTGCTGTGGTGCATGTTCGACAGTCAATTTGGATTCTTGAGAAATACAATTAAAGTATATTGTTTAAGACAAGTGTGTAAATATCCTTTCTTCACTTTCCGGTGACACCCTGAAAGAAAATTTTGACATAAGGCTAGAAAGCGGATTGAACTTAATCTACCATGCTTTCTGTCAACTTATATTAAAAAGGATACCAGCATTCTGAAGTCATGTTTTAGATTTCTTAGCATATTCAGTTGAAGCTCTCCCTGGCTATAAAAAATTTTGTTCTAATGAGCAATAAAATAACTGATAGATCTAGTGGCTTCTGAAAGAATTGTGGTTCCCTGCGACATATTATGGGCCTTTCCGAGTATGGGTGTTTGTCCTTATCTGGTCACCCACAATTATGGTGAAATCATAAGTAGATTATAATATAGAAACCATTAATCTTTTCTCAAGCATTAATTTTTAGTAAATGATCTAATGTTTCTTCAACTGTATATGCTGGAATGCTTTTGACCATTTCAAGTGGATTTTATGTATATTTGGATAATTGTAATTATGTGGGTTTTGAAGTATGCGTAGTTTTGGTTATTAAATCTTTAACAATAGTTTGTAGGGAACTACTGTTACCCAAACATATGATATCCATTCACAATATTCTTTCTATTCACATTTTATTTGATGTAGGTGCTGAGAAATCTGGGAGAAATGGTGAAGGAGATTCTTGGTGGGAAACATGGCAAGAAGTTCTGTACCAAGATGAATGGAGGTAAAACATTAAAATTGATTAATTTGATATTGTCAACTTCAGGTCACTGTGATGTTTAGCTAAAATTTGGCCCAGTTGTTGACTGTAGGATTTATCAGAATTGTGCATGAATAACAAAAAAATATAGAGACATGTCTTGTTATATGCTGCAAGGTTTTAAGTGAAATTTGATGAACCTTTTGGTTTTCTTAATATCAATTTCACATAGGTCACAATTACTTCCGCGTGACTGAAGGTTAGATGTTGCCTCTCATTTTACATTGAGGCTCAATGTTGTGATATTCAACAATTAATTGAGTGTGTGCGCACCTCTTTTATTTTGTACGGGTGTGCGTGCGTGCGCCTTCTATTTTGTTTGGGAGTGTACGTTTCAACCCTATCTACTGTGTGTAATAGAATTTTTAATCTAAAAACGTTAGATTTTCCTATTAACTGATGAAGCATGTAAGATTATGCAGTTTGTACCTTTTCGATCTGAATGGCACTTCAAGCTTACTTCTATATCTCTTGTCTAGAACACGTTATTTCTTCTGAAAACATAAACTTTGTGGTTACTTCTTTTTTAGCAACTCTTAAGAAAAGGACATTGATAGGATGTGTATATTCTAAGAGGGTAGGGGTAGAGAGATGTATACATTCTATTTTATTAGGCTCCTAATAAGTACCTAGTGGCATGAGCACATCACTTATCTTTCTTTCAAACCTAGGCATGAGCACATCACTTATTTTTCTTTGAAACCTAAGATTCTACCTTAGGTCAAAACCTAATAGGAATGTGGTTGGTGTTTGTTCTTTTTGTCTCCTACTTTGATGTTTACTCTTCACTTGGCTTCTTATTTTATTTTCTTTATATTTCATCCTTATTCATGTCCATTAATATAAATAAAATAATACTGTGATCTTCCTCTTCATTTACACTATTTAATAACATATATCATTTATGATACCATTTACACATTAAGAAACTCTTTTATCAAATTGTTTAGAATTTCTGCATTTCTTTCTTTCTGAAACAACTTGTCATCCTGACCTATCTTGTTATTAATAAAATTTGTATTTAAGTTTTACTGACTTCTAGATGTGTATACTGCAGCACTCTTAGAAGTGCCAGATATTTCTTAGTATGATTTATTTGGATAGGGAAGAATGCAACTTATGGAAATGTGGAGTTTGTTAATGTTTATCTTCTTTTGGGAAAAAAATCTCATGAGCTATGGTATGCTTTGTTAATGTAGATCGTTTTTTGGAAATAAAAATCTCATGAATATGGAATCATTGTGGTGGCAGTAATCTTGCAAGGATAGAGAGAAATGCTCACAAGCAAGCAAAATCCGGTACAGAAGATGCTTTATGGCAAGAGAGATGGTGAGGAGAACTCCAAATTGGTAATCGTATCATGTACTATTGGCAATTATCTTTCTGTCACTTTTATGTTGAGGGCTAATGATCTCCAGTGAAACTCCTTTTCTAGGTGGGAAAAGTATGATGCAAAAGGCTCTACAGAGAAAGGAGCTTATAAATGTGGAAGACTTAATGAACAATCTTGGTGGGAAAGATGGGGAGAGAATTATGATGGAAGAGGATATGTGCTAAAATGGTTAGTTTGTCTTCCTGCCTCCTGCATATTAGAGTGCCAATTATTTGGGTGATCATGCAGTTGAATTCTGTTGACACAAGGAGCTTGTTAATCTGAAAATCTACACTGGTGCAATTCATATTCTGTGCAAATGCGCCCAATTTACGAGGCAAAGTGCATGAGTAAAGATCTCTCTTTAGGGCTGTGATGTGCTTAAAGTATATACTGGTAGAGATATCACTTTCAATGTTTCCCCCCTCAATACAATCCATATACCTAAATGATAGTCTTCCTCAGATCATATAGTTTCTTTGAATACTTGGATCATCTTATATGGCCCCACCTATCGGTATGTTATCTATTTGTTCGAGATGGAAGAATGTAAACTTGTTCCTTCTCCACAGGACTGATAAATGGGCAGAAACACAGCTGGGTACGAAATGGGGAGACAAATGGGAGGAGAAATTTTTTGCTGGCGTTGGTTCACGACAAGGAGAAACGTGGCATGTATCTCCTGCCGGTGAACGTATGTTTTTACTTTACAGTATCAGGACTGTATGATTACCTGCAAAAATCACAATTACCAAAATTTTACTTATTTTATATTTTCTTCTATTATCTTGGCTTAGATTTAATCTTAGAATATAACCACTTGAGAGTAAATGATGTTTGTGGAGCCTTATTGCCTGGAGAATACATAGCAACATAGCACTGGGACCCAAAATTGAGCCCCTTATAATTGCACGCCTATGTGAGGGATGAGGTTTTCAGACCGTAACCTTCATCTATAATTAATGGACTTGTGACCTGATTATACTCTTTAAGGGATGTAAATTATCATGTTGATTGCCGAGCCTCATTAAATCCCCATGTTTCTGTGGTTGTTTTTTCTTGTTTTCATTATTTCTTTAATGGATATGTGGTTAGGTTTCTGTTGTGTTGCAACAACGATAAGTAAAATCGATGACAAGTTGGGTATGTTGTGGATATATCCTCCTATGTAATTGTCACCTGATCCTCCTCAAGAGTCAATACGTTGAAATTTTTTAATTTCTTTCAGAATCATAGCTATGTATGATTAATCATAGAACTAGCAAAGACTTGTGTTTATGCACAGTTCATTAGCAGGAAATAAATAATCTTCTTCACATCAATTCTATTCATACTATTTTCCGTTGACGTGACTGATATTGAGGGAAAAATCGCAAATATGTAGGACACTTAACATGAATGTCAGACATATTTTAAACACGTCGATTTTATAAGGAAAACATCACAAATATATAGGACACTAATATGAATGTCAGACATTTTAAACACGTCAATTTTACACAAGAAGTGCCCATGCCATATAGGTTTTACTGTTGGAGAATAATGTCTCCATGAGAATTATATTAGAGAACTTGTTTTACCTCCACCAAGTCTTGTCTACCAATTAATCCATATTTTGAATTCAAGAAGATGTTTATCTGTCCTGTAACTATTTTGTTCCAATATAAATATTTACTGCCATTGTTAGAGCCTACATACGGGAAGATTGAGAACATATTTCAACATCATTATAGTTGATTGCATCTCACAATCAATGCATATCATGTCTCATGGGCATTTTAATGTACGACATACACTAGTCTGATCTGACTTTAAAATACATATTAAGCCTCCCTTTTCTTGCTCTCTCCTTGCGAGAATCTTACAAATGATTTTGACCTTCCCCTTCACTTGGTTCATGATAGACTCTTAATTTTCTTCCAAACTATGCATTTCTCATCACATTTGACAATAACATGCATTTATTTTGATTTTCTACTAAACCTTGCATCAGGCGACACTCTTCCATCTTTACTATTCCCTAGGCCATACTTGATACTTACCACACTGCCATTAGACCGGCTGTACTCTAAATTTTGCATTTCTACTAATCTTCTTGTAAACTGCTTGTCCTAATTCTGAAAAATATACATAAATTTCTTCTCTTTCTTAATCAAGCTCTACTTCCAAACAGAAACTGCGTATACACACGATCTCATCTGTTGTCTTAGGAGTGTCACATCCATTCAGTCAAGTGTGGGTTTCATCTAGCAAAAACATGAGATGAGATTTAGGCCCACTTTGGAAGAACATTTAACAGACATATGGTTAAATGTGTTTGGATTCATGACTCTACAAGATTAGTCCTTTTGAGTCAGTTTGGGTTCATGTGAATTTGTGAAATCCATCTCCATTTGTTGGCCTTTGCAGCCCAACAACTTTATTATAAATAAAAAGGTTTTCCACTAGAAACCACCTTTAAAATATGGTCATTCTACAGAACTCAGCTTTGATTGTCAAATTATACATTGACCACCTTTAAAGGGATTTTGTTGCAATCAACCACCAGTGCCCACTTTTCAATTAAGTTTTTTCGGCAATTGAGCCCACCTAACCTCCATTAAGGATCATATCTCTAATATACTTGATAATTGACAACTAATCTTTACCCTAAAAAAACTTAACGTAAAAGTGAATCCATGTGGTTGATCGAGAAAAAAAATCCGTTTAAAGGTGGTTTATATATAAATTGAGTGTATTCTGTAGAATTACCTATTTAAAGGGTGGTTTTGAGGGAAAACCCCTTAACAAAACTTGAGTTTCCTTCTTTGGGAAAGTCATGTTCCAAAATATATCAGTATTTACCATAAGTAATTAAGTTTATGGTTCCTTGCTATAACGATATCGTCTCAGTGGGACACAATGGGAGGAAGTCATCTCTTGGAAGATCCAATATATGTCTAACACAATATATTTTACCGTCTTTTTTTTTGCCCCTTTCAGTCATATTTTCTTCGTTTATCTTAAGACCAAGGAACATTTAGATTGGTTCTTTCTTCTTTACCATGCATATACGAGGCGACATCCCCACCTATAGACCAATACCTTATAAAGAAGCATGCTGCACATGATACACATATGATAGAAGCATTGGGTTTCTTTTGCTATTGCCGTACATATGATTTTCCGTTAGTTATGCTTTTGAATACACACTATTAGTTAATTTGTTACCTACAGCGCTGTCTTAGAACCTTGATCTTGAGGTTAGGTTCCAATTTTCTTCCGAACTATGATAATCCATACTATGCGATAATAATTCATTTACTCAATTTCTTTTATTTCTCATCTTTTTGTTGGAAGTGATATATCCTGTACAAACCTTGACCTCATTTGTTGCTTGTTGATTCTCTAGGATGGTCAAGGACCTGGGGTGAAGAACACTTTGGAAATGGGTATGTGCATGGCATAATCATATCAGTTCTCTCATTGCTTAGCATCTTCTATGAAATACTTGGAAGATTCCTTTTCACGCATATTGGTACTATGCCTTTATGCTAATTATTTCATAAAATCACTGATTGTTATTCACATTTGAGAAGTTTGAATTATGAAAAATGTAATGTCAAATGGAACTTGCAGTTTTTTGTTTTCCCAGCCAAATATATTTTCTTTGTGAAGTAGAAGATTTAACTTTTAAGGGTGGCTGAAAAGTTTGTTTTTACTCAAAAAAACTGTGATTTTTATTCTATCATGAAAATTTTATCTCTTTTAGTAAGTTTCAGTTAACAAGAATTTGACAGAAGCTTGAAGCAGTGGACACTTTAGGTAAATCTACAGCCTGAGCAGATTTCTTCTTCTTCATCCTTCCCCACTTGCCTTTAGAAAATATTCATACTTTATGCAATGTAACAACAAATTGTTTTCAACCTATGACTCCTTAGTTTCAAATAATAACATCAACAAATTTTTTGGGTAGTTGCTAATAGACCCCATATAGTTCTATTGTTGCAGATAGACCAATTGAGGTAAATTTTTGCCTCTTTTTTACCCTCAGAGCAAGACAATTTTTTTTTTTTTTTTTTGACAAACAGACCTCTGAGGGTAAAGAGTCAAAAGAAATACTATCAGGGGCCTCCTCCATAACTGGGTGATAGTACAGGGGGGTCTATCCACAGCTAACCCTTTATTTCATTGTGCTCTGTGGCCTCGGTGCTCAAATAATTGATGGTTGTTTTTATTTCAGGAAAGTTCACAAATATGGTAAAAGCACAGCCGGAGAAAGCTGGGATCTCGTCGTGGATGAAGAGACATATTATGAGTAAGATACCTCATCATGAAAATGCAATTTTGAGTTTCATGCCCGTTCATGAACTTACGACTTTATGCAAATAGGGCTGAACCTCACTATGGATGGGCTGACGTCGTGGGCGACTCAACCCAATTGTTATCAATTCAACATCGAGAGAGACCTCCGGGTGTATTCCCAGATTTTGGCCTGTCCCCGCCGCCGCCGAGAGATGAACCAAAGCCTGATGAGCCTCCCTCGAGTTAGGAACTCTTAAGATTTTAGTCCTAATTTATTCATGGGCTACATTTTTGTGATGGAAGACTTCCTGTAGAGCTCAACATTCATTCTTTGTATGACCTTTTCATTCATTATCTGTCAATTAGGTTTGCATTCGAGGAATTGGTTTGGAAATTGAATTTACTTTTTTTGTGAGAAGATATCAAAATACTGTCTTCTTCCAAGTATTTTCATTTCTTCGTTCTTGGAGAATAAGCGTTAATCCTGCTCTGGCAAAACGTGAAGCTTGCTTACCATGATGGCTATAGTTTTGTTTTCATCAAGTTGAATTCAGTTTGGTATCTAACAATTGCAATGAAAATGTCTTTCTGTAAACAAAACGGCATCATATTGATATTGACATCAATTGTCAATTTACTAAATAATAATTTTGGGGTGCAGGAGATTGTAGTAAAATGAGGTTGATATAATGCATCACGAATTAGTCAAACAAAATGCAGTAAGCGGTGAAGCTTCGTTTGTCTTT